AGTAAAGATTTATACTCTACTAGAATGACAAGTAGATCCAACAATAACTTAGAATGAATAAAATGAAACATCAGAGTTATCAACTTCATTGAACCGTATTACGTATATTCTTTTACCTTATACAACTGTGTCATAGACAAATATTATTAGAAGAAACTTTGTTTCTTTCAAATCAAACAAGTTGAACATTGTGACCAAATGATGGCACATGTTTTTTGTCTTTAAGATACACAATTAGCTATGTATTAGTATCTAATGAAGTACTTAGCGATAATCAATAAGCATTTTGTTTCATTAATATTCTTTTCAGAATTTAAGGGCTCACACAAAAAATAATAATTCGTTTAATGAGTTGGCAAATAGAGCAAGAAATAAATTTTGACATCATATACGCATGCAAGTGGTTTGAAAAATGAAGAAATAGAGAAAGGAAAATAATACTTCATACCGCAAAGTTTGTTATCCTTTTTTATTTATTTTTATTTTTTATACAACGGGGGAATTCACAGTCGCTATCCTTCGGGTGCGTACTAAAGGGTAGCGGCTGCGGCCTGTGGGTTCCACGTCATCCCCAAAAAAAAAAAAAAAAGTTATCTTAATTGAAGCAAAAGTTGTTTTGCTTCCAACTTTTGCTAATTTTTTTCTTTTATTTCCCAATTTTGTGATTGTATTTTCATCCTCAACTTCTATTAATCAATATATCTTATTTACGAAGAAGTAAAAGACTTGTTTGCTCCTTGAATTTTTGAATAAGTAAAATAAACAATAAATACAAAACTTCAACAAAATAATTTTTCCATACTAATTAGAAGATGTATTAATTAAAGAAAGTTAAAGATAAGAATGAGAACAAAAATAAAAAGTTGGAGATCTATATTGCAGTTAAATATATTTTACTTATAGGGTAAAATTAATTATAATATAACTAATTGTATCATCAATTGAATATACAACCTTATCAAGCGTACTAGGACTGTATCTGAAAATTCAATTTCGTTATAGTGACAGACTCAATGATAGAGGGGACTTGTGTCAATAAAGGATTATACGATTTGAAATAAATAAATAAATAAAATACAACACCAAATCTTGCCCTACCATTACACCCTGTCAACTCCCCCCATCATTTTCCAAGTTCAGATGCATTATTGCTAAAATTTTGTCATTGCAAACAGTTATCAAAATATTTAAATTTGATTATAGACTCGAACCTATTTTGATGTCGTCATCTAGGGGTGGCAGTGGGTCGAGCCGAGCCTGCTCGACTCGTTAACCCACGAGCTCGGGCTCGGCTCGTTGCTTGTGGGCGAGCTTGGCTCGGCCCCCC